AAACACTGAAAAATGTGCTGTATGTTGCTAAATACTGTACTTAAAGATTTTGTCTGGTATGAAATAACATACATTTTGGCAGTCTTTTACTAGGCACCCTGGAACACAGTAAAACGGACATAGTGGAGTATATATATACAGAGATTTGCCTTACAATGGCTCCAGTGCTGCCAGTGCATTCCTGGAACATGGAAATACATGGAAGCCAGTGTCAGCAATGAAGAAAAGCATGCTGTGCCTAATGTACCAGAAAAGCTACTCAAGAACTCATCCTCACATTAAAATAACCCTGAAGAAGCTGTGTCAGCTCAGCTTTGTAGCTTCACAGGTATCTATCCACACATGGATAGATACATGCACGGATATATGCATGGATAGATATACATATGGATAGACACACATGGCTTCACCCTGCACACCTGATACAAAGCCCAGTTGTTCTAAGTTCTAGGTTTCAGTTCATTGCCTCATTTGCCAGTTCACAGAATCCCAGACTGGTTTGTGCTGGAAGAGACCTTAAAGCTCATCCAGCTCCAACCCCTGCCACGGGCAGGGACACCTTCCACTAGAGCAGCTTTCTCCAAGCCCGTGTCCAACCTGGCCTTGAACACTGCCAGGGATGGGGCAGCCACAGCTTCTCTGGGCACCCTGTGCCAGCGCCTCAGCACCCTCACAGGGAAGAGCTTCTGCCTAAGAGCTCATCTCAGTCTCTCCTCTGGCAGGTTAAAGCCAAAGTTTAAAATCCTCTTTAAAATTTATTAATTGATAAATGAAAAAGTAAAAAAGCTGAGAGTGTCCTTTTGAAATACCCCAAATCCTGTGACACAATCCATGTGCCATTCCTGGTGTTCAGAAATAGTGCTGCAACACTGGATTTGAAGTTGAGAGGGTGAGCCCATAATGCAAAGTTATTTCAACTTGATGCTCTCATATCAATAATGATTTGAAGAAATATTCTCCTATGGGACAGGAAACCTGTTGTTACGTACTCCATCATTGCCGGCCCTGCCTGAAAGAGCAGCTGCCATAATTCCATTGGTGTTTCTGATGGAACCCAACAGCTCTTCAAAGAAAACCCCATAACTTGTGGATATTCTTCATTTTACAGCACAGAACTACACTGAACTTCAAGAACAGAATAGTAATTCCACATCTTCTAAGCCTTCCAAACACATTCATAAAACAGCCTATAGATAACACTGAACTTCACTATACCTGCTTCTTAAGGACCATTACTTTCTCACAGATAGGAAGTCACCAAAAGGGAAATCAAGGACTAAAGGAACATTATCCTTCCCTGTGAATTTTCCATTTCATTCAGTTGTGTCTGGTATTTCTCACTTTTTAATTTATATAACGCGATTATAGAAGTATTTGCTTCAAGAAAGTACAATGATGCTGAAAGGACAAAGGCTTTTTGTCTTGAGAACCTATTTACCCTCCACTCCAGCGGAGTCCCATGTGTAGAAACTCCCCTAGATCTGACATCCCCAAGATCTGACTTCCCCAATTATTTCATTCATTTCACTTGTCTCCTCTTTCAGGTATTTCATCCTGGCAGTTCACTTCCTTGATACACCCCATAAAATCCGGGGTAGAATACTCCAAGCACTTTCAGTAGCAATCTTTTCAGTACAGAGGGAGAGGCTACCACAATCCACCAAGCCAGCTCACATCTACCAGTACCAAGTGGTTCAAGTATCACTGGAGTTGCATACACTACCACCAAACCTGACTGAAGTGAGATTTAGCCTGCAACTGATCTTGAGGTTTAATTTCTTAAGGAGAAAGGGAGAAATTTCATTCCAGGGCTCTGGATCCCTCTGGAGGACACTGGCTAACACCTGCCTTCCCTTTCCAGTCTATCCAGGCATCTCATTGAGTTTGGCATGTGGCTCACGACACCAGATGCAAAGCCCACTGGCACTGAGAGAATCATATCCTCCAGCATGTTGTCCATCAAGAAGGGAACACAAACCCTTTGTGCTCTGCCTATATTTGAGGCAAAACTATACCCAGATCCAGAAAGATCTGCCAGCTCTGTAGCATCATCCCACCCTAAACCCAGTACTGTGGGAAAAACCTGTGGGCTCAACGCTGTTGAGATCCATGGAAGACATTAGTTTTACTACCCACAAATCTCATATTTGACAGTAAAATCACATATAGTTTTCAGGCAGCAAAACAATAGGAGTAAACTGTATTGCTATTACTGCATTTATTCTGCTAAGACCAAGAGTCACACAACTGGGTAGTCATGAAGATCCCAGCCTTTGTGAACTACTATGAAGCCTCTTTTTTAAGGGTTTTTTTCACTGAACAGTATTAACATTTATCATAGAACCCTGGAATGGTTTGGGTTGAAGGGACCTTAAAGCTCATCCAGTTCCAAACCCCAGCCACAGGCAGGGACACCTTCCACAAGAGCAGGCTGCTCCAAGCCCCTGTGTCCAGTCTTGAACACTGCCAGGGATGGGGCAGCCACATCCAGCATCCATATAGAGATCATACCTTCATAAAGAGCCATCTACCATGACGAACCACCCCAAATTAAGGACATTCTTTAACATGTCATTTCCAAACCCTACTAGTCAGAAAAAATGCCATTGCTTAGGTCAGTATCAGAGCTGTACCTTGACTCCCTTATTCATCAAATATCAGGTTTCCAACAGGGCAGATTTTAAATAGTAACTCTTTGGTTATTATTGCCTTAAAATAAATCTCCTGTAACATGTTTTACAAGCATTTCTCTACTCTCAAGTGATACTTGAAAGTGCTTTGGCCTGTGAAAGAATATGCAAACTATAGACCAGATGCAGAAATTCTTGGTTTCAACCAATAACTTGAGTGCTTATTGGAGACTGTGACAAATTTAGGAATTAAAACCTTTCCACATGGGAAAGCCACTCCATTTTTCCACTCATTTCCACTCCATTTTAGTGGTGACATTAGTGTGTGTATCTCCACCTTATCACTGGATCCTGTAATGCCAAATGTAAAGCAGAAGAACCACATCTCTGAAGAACTGCTGCCAATGGAGCTATAGGTAGCCCAGATGTGGTGGGGAAATGCTTCCAAGTGGAAACCCTCCATAAGCCATGACCATGAGTTAGGCTGCAAAAGAAGGTTGCTCCTCTTTCCCCACACTAAGAAGCCTCCCTGATAGAAACTGTATTCATATAGGAGGAAATAATGGCAAAAAGAAACACAGTAGTTCTCCAGAACATCTGAGGAACAGCCACATGACGGCAAGAGAAAACAGTGAATTACTCTCATTGCTTCCAAATGCCTTGTTAAAACCCATGCTTGATCATACAACTTGCATGGACATGATTTCTGATGCTAAAATGTCTGTGGAACCATTATAGGAAGCTTATTTTTAGCCTTAAAAATGATATAAAAACATTAGCTAGGGAAGAAAATGTATTAATCATCTATCCTAGAAAGAGGAGAAAACAATACTTGCCCTGAACCTTACGTATCTGGAGTGTGAATCTGGAGTTGAATTCCTCTTAATTGATTAAAGGAGAAGCTATGACTTTCTTTTCATTCCATGATCAAAGACATATCGTGCCTTCATTAGCACAGATTACAGATGGGAATAAAGCAGATGCCTTAAATGTATCCTGCCAGAGCACTTGCCAATTACAATTTCCTTGGTTTAACTGTACCTGATGCCAACTTGGCTACAAAAATGCTGTACTCTTCTGATTGAGGTTATCAGTAGTTTACTTTGAATCCTTTGTACTAATCCATCAAAAATCCTCTGTCTGAGTCACTACTCGCATGTCACAGCATTCCCGTCGGCTGCTGGAAGTTTGCTGGGCAGATACTGTACATTTTACTACATTAGTTACCTAAATGATAGCAAGAGCTTGAGATAGGAACCCAACTGACCAAACATGCAAAGAGCTACTCGCTGGGACTAAATGCTCTCACCACCGCTGGTAGACCATCCTTCCAGCAGAACCAGTATATCCCATTTTGCAGAAAGATGTAGAATTTAGGATTCCTACCTTTAAGACATCACCAGAGGGAGCACAGAGAAAAGGCTCATCACTGTGCAAATAACCCCTTATTTCCTATCACAGGAAAGGGCTGAAAGTATTCCTTGGTGCTTAAAGAGCTCTTGAACACTGGGAACTAGGGGAACTCTGGAAACCAGAAGCAATGCTCTGATAAGCAAACATGACCTTGCCTGTGAAACAAAACTTGATTGCCTAATAGGGCCTCCTTTTTGTTTGAAAGAACAAGTTTGTTGTCACCCACACATGTTTGTAAAGGCAGAAAGAAATCTCATTTCCCTACTTTGCAAGCAATAGTGTTCTGAAAATGCAGAACAACAGAACCATAGAATCCTAGAATGGTTTGGGTTGGAAGGGACCTTAAAGCTCATCCAGGTCCAACCCCCTGCCTGGAAGGGGGTTGACCATTCACTGGTGTCCCCTGCAGGGACACCTTCCACTAGAGCAGCTTGCTCCAAGCCCCTGTGTCCAACCTGGCCTTGAACACTGCCAGGGATGGGGCAGCCTCAGCACCCTCCCAGGCAGAGCTTCTGCCTAAGAGCTCATCTCAGTCTCCCCTCTGGCAGCTTAAAGCCATTCCCCTTGGCCTGTCCCTACAGGCCCTTGTCCCAAGCCCCTCTCCAGGTTTCCTGCAGCCCCATTAGGCACTGGAGCTGCTCTAAGGTCTCCCCTTAAGGAGCCTTCTCTTCTCCATGCTAAACCACACAACAGAGAAATGAGGTTTTTGTTGTACCTCTTTTGGTCACTGATTAGAGATACAGGCATTAAATACAGTTAATCTTTGTGTTCCAAACACAGATGTCATCCACTTCTGTTAGTCTCCGTACTCCAAATGCCTCGTTTCTCTCTTCCAAACCTGCAGCTTCCCTACAACAAGTGAGGTTGTAGCAAGGACAGAATTTACAGGCAAGTTATGCAAAGCTGAAATGTTCCTAGGGCAATGTTTTACAGCCCCTTAGAGCCCCATACGTAGTATTTTACTGTGTATTCAAAGAGCATTTATTTACATACACGCCTGAGGTTTTCTGTCAGGTTTAAAGTTCAGGCTTTTCTCATCTCATTTGTCCAGGATGGATGGCCTCCCTTTTTTTTCCTTTGGAAAACCAATGCTGTTACACTGTTCCCAATTCTTCCTCCAAAGCAAAACTTGGGTGTTGGCAGCTCCTCCAGAACCTCAAATCCTGCCAGACAGAAATTAAAATGCTTTTATTAGAAGGAAGTCATTTTATTCGCCTCCTGGATAACCCTTTGCAAACCATTCTTTATTCTTCTGGAAAACTTGCAAGGCAGTTACTCGGAGTTTATAGGACTGTGTTGTTACACTGCACCACTGCTTTCTACAGCTGAAAGCCTTCCATGGATAATAAAACTCTTAGCTGGCTGACTCACACAAATTAATGGCAGAAAAGATGGGAATTTGCCAGTGGTTTTAGTTCCCCAGAAGGGATGGTTGGTTTAGATCCACACTGAGCTTCAAGCCTCAGGCATGAGATTGAGGAGCTAAGTGTCATGGAAAAAACCCTTAGAAAGGTCTCTGAGGAGGTGACATGAAAGATCATGGTCACAGACTTGCCAGCTCATCTAAATATGGGTAGCAATGTTGTCCTGATTTCAAAGCCATCAGACGGGTGAACTGGAGCTCGTACTAAAGGGCCAAAGGAGAAGTGTCACCCAGGTACACACTTCCCCAGTGTAACTAGGCTGAAATCCTCATCCTCCAAAGTATAACAAAACCTGTCCTTCCTCAGTGTGTTGGCACTGGCAAACCCTGAAGTTCTAATTTCTGTGGAAAACTGAGGGAAGACAGGCTGAAGCATTTACTGGTCACTTTACCTTGTCTACCCCTGATCTAAAAGAGTCAATATGCTAACACAGACGTTAAAATTTACTCATCCTTAAACAACCATACATGGACAGATGGTTCTGTTCACCTGCTTACCTTCTCTGAACTCATTCAACAGCTCCTCCTTGGTCCAGTTGCAAGATGTTATGAGGAAGAAGCCCTCTGGTTTCAACACACTGCAGAGGGATCTCACGTACTGCTTCCTCTTTGCCACCGCGTTATCAGGATTGAGGCTTATGGCATCAAAAGTCCCCTTGTCAATACAGATCTCAAATCCTGACAGCTCAGCTGATGGAGCCAGGAAGTCTTCTACCTAAACCAGAAGTCTGCAACTGTGAAAACAAATCTTCTACTCAGCAGCTCCTGAATCTTTAATGCAAACACTTTAAAATACAAAGCCTCAAACTTGACAATAGGTGTGCTTAGGAAAGGGATAACTCACAGCCTTTCACACTTAAAATGTCCTGACAGCTTCTTTCTTCTCTACGTATCATGTGATGATCTATTTGTGGTAAAGCCTGTGTATATACCTGTCCATCTGAAACTCAAACTAACATAATTGAAGTGCAATTGAAGTGCAGGTGCTGCATGCTGGGTGCTGTACAAATGGAGAAGAATAGACAGGGCTGCTACAAAGAGGTTACAACTGACATACAAGAACAGAGACAGAACGCAGATCCAGAGCTGGAGGGTAAAACAGCTCAGCAGAGAGAGAGCTCAGGATGAAAGGCTGATTCATGGGATGGAACCTCTGGTCCTACCCCCTGCTCCAGCAGGGATTCCCAAACCTCCTGCTGCACAGCTACTGTTTGGATTCTATCACCTTAGGATTTCAACCTCTGTCTCAGATGTGACATTCAGAATATAGCAGCTAAAATAGAGAACTTGCCAAATGTTGCCTGTAGAAGCAGGGAAATCTTGTCAGCCCTAATGACTGTTACAGACAGCAATAAAAAAGGGACCAAAAATCTTCTTGCAAATAGAGATTTATTAGATTAGAGTTCTCCCACAAATGAACGTCAAAAGACAACACTAATATAGTACACTGAGTACATCTGAGTAGCAGTTTGGTTGTTTAATCTTGGGTTCAATTGCTTTCTATTTCCTCACTCAGCTTTCTCTCTGAACTTACCTTTAATTTAATGCTGGACATCCCTTCCTTCTCTCTTATTTTTTCTGACAGCTGTATTGCAGAAGGAGAGTAATCAATCCCTGTGAGGTTCATGAAGCCATTCTTTGCCTGGACAGAAGCAGAGAATCTTGATCAGTGTGCTAGCAGTATTTTTACCCAACAAATGTACTCTCTACCTATAATCCATCTCATTCCAACAGCATCCTGGCCTGTATCAGCAATAGTGTAGCCACCAGGGCCAGGGCAGTGATTGTCCCCCTGTATTGGGTGCTGGTGAGGCCGCACCTTGAATCCTGTGCTCAGCTCTGGGCTGCTCACTATAAGAGGGACACTGAGGTGCTGGAGCATGGCCAGAGAAGGGCAACGGAGCTGGTGCGGGGCCTGGAGCACAACTGTGATGGGGAACGGCTGAGGGACCTGGGGGGGTTTAGTCTGGAGAAAAGACCAAGCAAAGTGCAAGGTCCTACACCTGGATCAGAGCAATCCCAGGCACAGCTACAGGTTGGGCAGAGAAGAGATTCAGAGCAGCCCTGCAGAGAAGGACCTGGGGGTGTTGGTCAGTGAGAAAATGAACATGAGCCGGCTTCAGTGTGCGCTTGCAGCCCAGAAAGCAACCGTATCCTGGGTTGCATCAAAAGGAGCATGACCAGCAGGTCGAAGGGGGTGATCCTGCCCCTTTGCTCTTGTGAGACCTCACCTGGAGTTTTGTGTGCAGTTCTGGTGTCCTCAACATAAAAAGGACATGGAACTGTTGGAACAAGTCCAGAGGAGGCCACGAGGATGATCAGGGGCTGGAGCACCTCCTGTATGAAGATAGGCTGAGAAAGTTGGGGCTGTTCAGCCTGGAGAAGGCTGCATGGAGACCTCATAGCAGCCTTCCAGTATCTGAAGGGGGCCTATAGGGATGCTGGGGAGGGACTCTTCATTAGGGACTGTAGTGACAGGACAAGGGGTAACGGGTTAAAACTTAAACAGGGGAAGTTTAGACTGGATATAAGGAAGAAGTTCTTTCCTGTTAGGGTGGTGAGGCACTGGAATGGGTTGCCCAGGGAGGTTGTGAATGCTCCATCCCTGGAGGTGTTCAAGACTAGGTTGGACAGAGCCTTGGGTGATATGGTTTAGTGTGAGGTGTCCCTGCCCATGGCAGGGGGGTTGGAACTGGGTGATCTTAAGGTCCTTTCCAACCCTAACTATTCTATGATTCTAAGACAAGGCTCAGGGGGGACCTTATTGCTCTCTACAACTGCCTGATAGGAAGATGGAGCCAGGAGGGCGCTGGTCTCTGCTGCCTGGAACAAGGGATGAGACAAGAGGAAACGGGGTTCAAGCTTCACCAGTGGAGGTTTAGATGGAGCTGAGGAACAATTCCTTCCCCAAAGGGTGCTCAGGCATTGGAACTGGCTGCCCAGGGCAGGGCTGGAGTCACCGTCCCTGGAAGCTTTCACACACCATGTAGACGAGGCCCTCAGTGAAATGGGCTAGTGGTGGCCTTGGCAGTGCTGGGGTAAAGCTTGGACCTGATGATCTTAAAGGCGTTTCCAACCTGGCTGATTCTATGATTCTCCTCCTCTTAATGACTGAACCCCCCCCTCTTTTACTCATTTGTATTCCTGTTAGCATTACAAGAGCTGAACAGCTGGCGGAATGAGCTGAAACAACTCCATTCTGCCCAATACCTCCTCAAAAGAACTGTTGACTGAAAGCTGGCTTAGATCAACAAGTGGAAAATGGAGCAGAACTGTGAAAAGGAATACCCTGGAGGGGAACAGGCTCTATTATCTGCACCAAAAGTAACCTAGAAACCAGGAATTTCCAGTGAGGAGAACATGTGCTAATGCCAGATGCTTCAAAATAAGAAGAAAACTTCTCTGACACGTAACATCTGAGATTGAGCAATTGTTTTCTAACTCTCAAATGGTAAGAGCTAAAATATGTAACCCATTTTATCAGTACAGAAATCCACTGCAAAAACTTTACATGTTTCTAATTTATTCATGCTAATGCCTACTTGAATGCAATCATTTGCATGCTACAAGCTCTTTGTATCAGCAACTTTCAGGCAGGTTATGCACCACATAAAAGTGTACAGAGACTTTCTGTTAATGTAACTTCAGAGCAGATAATGATAACCCAGTTCAGCAAACTCAGGCAGTGAGATCCCAACAACCCTTGTGCAAAGCAGGTGGGAAGGTGGCAGCGACACATTTTTACCCTGAGGTAGAAGCTGAAGAGACCAGATGCGGGTATCACGTGTGTCAGTGGGTCTGGCTGGATGCAAAGCTAACAGGAAGAGCTCTGATCTTAAGGCCAGCTGCAGATAGTAGCAGAGACAGGGAGGAGGCTCAGGTTTGGTCTGGTTGTGAACAATACACAGACTTTAACTATCATTAAGCAATCAGCTGAGTTTCTACTTGCTCCAAAGGCTGATACCTCAACAGCAAGAGTTTGACAACCCTCCCTCCTTCCCACAGCCCTTTTCCCTGTGTGAGCTCAGTGCTCACCAGCTGTTTTAAACTGAGGAGTAATTTCATCTGAACACAAAGATCTTGTTGTTTGCAGTTAATGAACAACAGAGGATTGCTCAGGCTTCTGCCCACGTTCCTCCCCAGAGCAAATCAAGCTTCCTGAGATGCCTGTGCTGAAGACCTGGGGGTGGAAGAGGAGTTCCCACAACAGCTCGTCTATTGAAAAAGGAAGAGCTTGAGTCACTTCAGGGAGTTCCCATTCACTCCTATAGTCTCCTGGGCAGAGAAGGAAAGTTTAAGGATAAACAACATTAAATGCTGCTAAACCTGCATGGCCTGACTATGGAGGGACAGGAAGGGATCATTCACTCAAGTGCCAAACGTGACCACACTGCATCCTGCAACTGGACTCCTGTCCTGAAGGTGCTATTTATAAACACGCTTCTGCTATTTCTAACAGATTAAATAGCAGAAGGGAGTGTGCAGTGTGATCAGCACTGCCCCATAGAGTCACAGACCGGTTATGGGTTGGAAGGGACCTTAAAGCTCATCCAGCTCCAACCCTTGCCATGGGCAGGGGCACCTTCCACTAGCCCAGCTTGCTCCAAACCTCTGTGCCCAACCTGGCCTTGAATCCTGCCAGGGATGGGGCAGCCACAGCTTCTCTGGGCATCCTGTGCCAGTGCCTCAGCACCCTCACAGGGAAGAACTTCTGCCTTATATCTAACCTGAACTTCCACTGTTTCAGTTTGAACCCATCACCCCTTGTCCTATCACTACAGTCCCTCTCCAGCATCCTTGTAGCCCCCTTCAGGTACTGCAAAGCTGCTATGGTTGGGCCTGTGGTGCAGCCAGGTAGACACCCTTACTTGGGTGGTGAACACCCTTCATTTAGAGAAGTTTTCTAATACTGTCTGCTCCCACAATACTCAGGGTATAAAAAAGAGGTCAGAGCTCTATGTGGCAGCAGGAACATTTCCTTAAGAGCTGGAATTCTTGGAAGGTAAACACATTAGGTCAGCAGGGCAACCTTCCAGACTCCTGATGTTGATAGGGGTAGGACCTCCATCTGCACCTACAAACGCAGCACAGGGTCCCTCTTATGTATGTGAGACCCCCAAAGCAAGCAGAAAGAAGAGAAGAAACCTCCAGCAGCCTTTCTTGTGAAGCTTACTGTTGGGCAGATCCCTGCAGTGTGTAGGTAGAAGACATTTAGCAGTGTGCTGGATGTTCTGCCTTCTAGCTGGACACTGAGGCCAGTTTACACAGTATAAAAGTCTTTCCTGTTTTCACTTTATTAGCTGCTTTTCAGGTGGCTTTTCAGCCTCCTTTTTGTGCAATATTCCCTACTGGATCTGACAGTGTCTTACCCGGACCTACCTGCATTTAATGTCATTTTCTTACTGTTACTCCCATTTATATTCTTTACTGTTAACAGTACTCAGGGCCTAGTGCTCCACAACTAAGTGTACTCTACAGCACCTCTACCTGTTCTGGCCATGGTCTAATTCATCCCCCAAGCATCTACCTTTGAGGGAGGTGCTACTAATGCTCTACATGGCTGAAGTCTGACTGCCTTTCCCAGTGTTGCCATTTCTAGCACATTAGCAAGTCCAGCTCCAAAGGCAGAACTGCTCTACAGCAACCAATGTGCTTGCCAGGAGAATCCCAACATGACTTTCAAAGCCTAGCAGCTAACACAAAAATTCTTTTTTTACATCAGCTAGGAGAGGGAGATCCTGAATTATTTAGCACCGATAAACAATGTGATTTTTTTGAAGCCACTTTTCAGATGGGAACTGGACTGAAAACTTCTTATTAAAGCAAGCAGTGCTTTAAGGTACTTAACGTAAGGGTGCTCTTAAGCAGTTTAATATTTTTTAAAAGCTCACAGGTTGTCATGTTCCCATTAGAGGATGAAAATCAATTCCAGGTTTGCAAGTGGGGCCAGTGTAAAGTTGAAAGCTTATAAATTAGATTTTTCTGTTGGATGTTTCCACAATGATAGAGCTGGTGAGCACTGCATTTAGCAATCCCTGATGAAGAGTCCCTCTCCAGCATCCTTACAGGCCCCCTTCAGATACTGGAAGGCTGCTATGAGGTCTTCACGCAGCCTTCTCTTCCCCAGGCTGAACAGCCCCAACTTCCTCAGCCTGTCTTCATACAGGAGGTGCTCCAGTCCCTGATCATCCTCGTGGCCTCCTCTGGACTTGTTCCAACAGTTCCATGTCCTTTTTATGTTGAGGACACCAGAACTGCACACAATGCTCCAGGTGAGGTCTCACGAGAGCAGAGTAGAGGGGCAGGATCACCTCCTTCGACCTGCTGGTCACGCTCCTTTTGATGCAGCCCAGGATACGGTTGCTTTCTGGGCTGCAAGCGCACACTGAAGCCGGCTCATGTTAATTTTCTCATCAACCAACACCCCCAAGTCCTTCTCCGCAGGGCTGCTCTGAATCTCTTCTCTGCCCAACCTGTAGCTGTGCCTGGGATTGCTTCAAGCCAGGTGTAGGACCTTGCACTTGGCATGGTTGAAGTTCATGAGGTTGCCATCGGCCACCTCACAAGCGCATCACGGTCCCTCTGGAATCGTTGTTATTTGGCTCATTTCTCTTACTGAGATGAGCCATTTCTACTTCTGAGGATATAATTTCTGTGCTGCAGTGGGGCAGCTGGTGCCTACAAAGGCTTTACACTCTTAAAAAATCAAAGTTGGTTTTAAAATATTCCATTATGAACCCGACTTTGACGTCCAGCCCTTTCCATTTCTACAGTAACTAGTGGAGCCAGTGGAGAATGTAGGACAGAATGACAGCTCCTCCCTTTACCAGCTCTCCTGAGTATTAGACCAAAGGAGTTACTAAAGAATAGAAAAAAAAATGGGAACTTCCAAACACATTGTATCACTGCAAAAACATGACATCACTTCAGAGTATGTCTGGGAAGGGGTTTCCACCCTGACAGATACGGACACTTCTTGAAAAGAAGTCATTTTTAAGTGATTTATAAAGAAAACCCCTTCATTTTAACCACTTTTTATATTGACAGTGAGAGTTATTATCAGAACTGAGTGCAAAGAAAGGGTCTGGCTTTGCACAGGAGAATACTCTGTGCATTAATCCACTTAATTTCCTCGTCTGGGCGTAGTTTACACAACAACAGCAAGAAATTCATTTTAAATGTAGGAAAATAGGTAAAGATAAACTATGGGGTGCTCAGGCTGACTGATGTAAAGAAATACTGTATATTTTGTAATCTGAAGTGCTGACACTCTGAGCAGCACTGAGAAAGGACAAGTTGGAGCACGTCTAGGGGAAAAAAAAGCAGCTTGTCTCCATTTGGTAGAGCAACAGACAAGTTCTGGTCCCAGGTCTGCACCCCCTAACAGCGCTGCTTGTTCAAGCAGTTACGCACCAAAGTCCCCCAGGCTGTTTAAGAACCACTTGTCTTTGTGACAGGATGTTCTTCAAGGCGTATCAACAGCACTAAGTTAATTTCACTCATACTCTTAAACCATATGACAATATAAAAACTGATGAACAGTAACCAGTGTTCTGTTGATGGGAAAGAAGAAAACACGTTCAAGTCCAGGTGGGACAGAGCCTTGGGTGTAGTGTGAGGTGTCCCTGCCCATGGCAGGGGGGTTGGAACTGGATGATCTTAAGGTCCTTTCCAACCCTAACTATTCTGTGATTCTATGATTCTATGATTCACTTCTGGTTGCTTGCTTTTTGGTTTTCAACTACGTTTCAGCTTGCCATGATTACTACTGTCACTTGCAAGTGCTGTATTTAAACTACTCCATCTGAAGCATCAATTCTGTATCAAAAGCAGAATGTTTGTAATATACCAACCAATTCAATCAGTAAAACACCGTTCCCAGTTCCGATGTCAAGCACAGGGCTATCAAGGGGGACCTTTTGCTTTTCCAGCCATCTGATGATGCGAGCCATGCTTTCTTCTCCAAACCTATGAAAAACAAGGGCTCAGGTAAGTCAGACAGCAAAACTGTACAAAAGGCAGAGCAAACTGACTTCATCACTCCCTCCCTCCAGCATCTGCAAAGCACCTTTTACTGAAGCACTTGGGTAACAACTGTCACAGCTCCATGATTGTGCTGTGTAAGTTAATTGCATGGCCCTAAAATTCACCAAAACACCAAGTCGGGGTAGATTTACATGAGAGATCAGGCAGAAGCTCTTCCCTGTGAGGGTGCTGAGGCACTGGCGCAGGGTGCCCAGAGAAGCTGTGGCTGCCCCATCCCTGGCAGTGTTCAAGGCCAGGTTGGACACAGGGGCTTGGAGCAAGCTGCTCTAGTGGAAGGTGTCCCTGCCCCTGGCAGGGGTTGGAGCTGGAGGAGCTTTAAGGTCTCTTCCAACACAAACCATTCCATGACTCTATATATTAAAACAGGCATCAGCACCAGCAACTTGTGTAGTTAAACCTGAGCTCAGGGATAAAGAACACATCCATCAGTCACATACACCATAACCACACATCACTCTCTGCACAATGACAGTTTTCCATGTGAAACTGAGAAATCACCATTGCAAAATCAGGCAAGAGAGGAACTGGTGGCTTCAAGACTAAAGTTCCCACCATCTTCCCAACATCCAGAATTATCCAGACATTGCATGTTTTTGAAATGTCTACATTTATAAAGAAATAATAGAAACACGCTATTTTATTTACTTTTAATAACTAATTTAGCTATTTTATTTACCAAACTTCCCCAGCATCTCCGGTGTCTTGAAAAGTCTGCAGCTCTCTGTCATAGGCAGCATCCCAGCTGGGGTCCGGGGGAGAGAAAGGAGAAGATATTGCAATGTATACTGGAAAAGGTTTAGATGAAAGACGGGAGAGACACTGTATCTATACAGCAACGCCACTTATTGTATCATCTGTACAGATTAACTGCTCGGGGACACGCTGTGAGCCGGGAGATGCGCTGAGGGGAACTGCGGGTTACGAGCGAGTGTTCAGGGCCCAGCTCGGGCCTCCTGCTCCCGGCCACCAATACCGGTTTGGGGGTGAAGGAACCCTTCCGCCCCACCGCCCGCCCCACTCACTGCTCTCTGGTGCCCAGCACCGAGGGGCTGAACGACTCCTCCCCGACCGCCGGCCCCGCCATCACCGGCCCCGCACACGGAACTACGTCCACACCATAGAGAACAGCCGGGAGAGGGGCGGCGGGCGCCGCTCTGGCGCCTGGAGGACTGGTGCTCGCTGCCCCGCGGGGGAGCTGAGGCTGGGGGGGGTCACGTCCCTTAAAACAACCCGAGTGCTTTGTAGGTTTATTTATAAGAGAGAGAGACGCTCTGAAAGACGGGGTTTTCATGGCTGCAGTCCGTATGGGTCAGCTGAACCAGCGCAGTGTTTTCATTTAAAGGGTAAAATTGAAATTAAACCTCTTCTTGAAAGTGAGGGCCATGGGGATGCTGCGAGGGCTGGAGCAGCTCTGCTCTGGAGCCAGGCTGAGAGAGCTGGGCTGGGGCAGCCTGGAGAAGAGAAGGCTCCTGAAGGGGAGACCTGAGAGCAGCTCCAGTGCCTAAAGGGGCTGCAGGAAAGCTGGAGAGGGGCTTGGGACGAGGGCCTGTAGGGACAGGCCAAGGGGAATGGCTTGAACCTGCCCGAGGGGAGACTGAGATGAGCTCTTAGGCAGAAGCTCTTCCCTGGGAGGGTGCTGAGGCGCTGGCACAGGGTGCCCAGAGAAGCTGTGGCTGCCCCATCCCTGGCAGTGTTCAAGGCCAGGTTGGACACAGGAGCTTGGAGCAAGCTGCTCTAGTGGAAGGTGTCCCTGCCCCTGGCAGGGGTTGGAGCTGGATGAGCTTTAAGCTCCCTTCCGACACGAACCAGGCTGGGATTCTGTGATCTCATTTTAACAGGCTCTGCACAGGACTCACCACGTGCGGGTGTTCACTCACTCCTCACCACATTCCCGGTCGCTAGCAGGCCCCCAGCACTGCGTGGACGCGGCCAGCCCCGAGCCAGTTCAGGCTGCAGGAGGAACTACATTTCCCATGATGCCCCGCGCCGCTGCAGGAAGTGACGCCCCTCGAGCGCGCGCGGTGGCTTGTGGGCCCGGCGGTGGCGGCGGCGGTGTCCATCATGGCGGCTTCCATCTCGGGCTACACGTTCAGTTCCGTCTGCTACTACAGCGCCAACAGCAGCGCCGACCACGTAGGTTCCGGGGGCTGCCGCTTCCCGGCGCGGCGGGGCGGGCGTCTCTGGGGCTACGGCGTTCGGCTTCATCCTTCCAGCGCTAACGGGCCGGGCCGGGCCGCCGCCGGTTGGGCCCCAGCCGCGGGTACCGGTTGGCGGTAGCGGCCCCGCTGTGGTGTTGTCGGTGGCACAGCGGTGCCCATCGCCGCGGAGGTGCTGCGGGGGTCGCCTGCCCCCTGTTCGGAGGTGGGGTGTTGGGGGTGTGACTCGCAGACCCGCCGGGGCCTGCCCTGCGCAGCTGTGGCAGCTCTGGGCTGGACGCGGGGCTCTCCGCGGGTGCGGGGCTCTCGTTTCACGCGCAGGGAATCGGGTCCAGGCAGGAAAACGTGTGTGGAAAAGCGGCGTGAGTGTGTGTGGTGAGAGCGCTGGTTCTGCAGCACAGGCAACGCACCCCGCTTACAGTGCGGAAGCTAAATCTTGTGGAGGTGACAGATCTCCGGTCTGAGCTTGTTCCCTTATCGCTACACCAGGAAACGATGCACCTCTCTTTCGATGCTTATGCCAAAAGGACCCGATTCCCGCTTACGCTCTTTCCTCATTTTGGGAGGGGATGGAAGATAAAAGATGGCTTTGAGTTACCTTGTGAGTTTTATGATTCCTGCTGTTATTCAATGTCCAGCTCAATCTCTAGATGTAAATATAAGTAATCTAAACACCACTTCCCGTTAGCTTTGAAGGTCCAGAGCAGCAGTGGTGCTGTGCATCACAGAATGGTTTGGGTTGGAAAGGACCTTCAAAGCTCATCTGGTCCATCTAACTCATCTAACCCCCCTGCAATGAGCAGGGACATCTTCAACTACAGCAGGATGCTCAGGTGCCTTCCTCATCCAGTGTATGCCTGTGTAGCTGGGACTGGAGGCAGAGCTCTCCTTTACATAACCTGTGTTTGCCTTTTGTGAGTTGTGTTATGTATGGAAGCTTTCAGTGGAACATTAGTTTTGGACAAGCTGTTGTGAAAGGATGTTGGTAAATAAGCAGCTCGGTCTGTAAATCTGAGGACAGGTTATACCTACTGCAGCTCAGAAATGTATTTCAAACTCAGTCTTTGTTTGAATTCTTCCATTGAATGCTAAGAAAGTTACAGCAAGCAAATGTAGATAGTGGGTATTTTTTCTATCTTTAGTCTTTTTTTTTCTCCCTTTAAAACTGTAGGAAGGATTTCTGCTGGGAGAGGTGAGGCAAGAAGAAACCTTTAGCATTAGCGATTCGCAGATCAGCAACACTGAGTTCCTGCAAGTGATTGGTAAGTAACAGAACTTTGAGAAACTCTAAAGAAGTTCAGTTTTTCAATATTCAGCACAATTCAGTGAGAATTATTTTACTTGTGAGACCAGCCCAAGATGCTTCAGGCTTTCAGAATCACGTTTGCTACGGTATTTGTGTGTTTGTGGTTGAGATGTGAGGGAAGGAAATGGTCCTTTGCTGCGTACAGGGTTTTATGCGTCTCCTTTTATGGAGAAAAGATCACTGAAGACATTTATCTGTGTTTTGTGATGGAGAAATTATTCATTTGCCTTTTGGCTCTTCAGGGAGTTGCCTCTTAGAGTCAGTTCCCTAAATACAATTATGTGCTCAATATAAAAATGCATTACTTGATTTCCTGCCATTGAAAGGGCAGATTTCCAGTGGAGGGTTTGGATGGATGTCTGGTGGTTGGTGACATCCTGCACTGTCCCAGCAAGATTCACCAGGGAATATTGTCAAGTAGTTTATTGCTAAATACAGGGACTGTGCAGCTGATTGCTGATGCAGTTGGTGTTGTGAAAAGCAAAAGATGATCTAAGGTCTTGCTGTTGTGTTGTTCATTGAAGTAGATATTTTTACACATCAGTGAAAAGCTGTTGCATGTTTTTAGCTCTGTGGTTTATAGAAAATAGGAACCCCTTGAATGAAGATGCCCCTTTTGTTTACATATATACAGCACAATGTTAAAATACTTTCTTTAAAGACCTGAGTGTGTACGTGGCTGTATGGATCTGATTCCAGCTAACATAGCAGGGTCTGCATAAAGCTGAGCTAATACACAAATGGCTCATAATGGACTCTGCAATGTTATTCTGATGCAGAACTAATGGACAGTGTGTACTACACTGTTGCATCTCCAGATGCTTGCCACCTTAAATTAGTGGTGGTTGTGGATCCAAGAATCCAATAGGTGCAGTAGTTTTCTGTTCCAGTTATTCCTAAGGAAACATGGGTGCTACAGTGACAGCGTGAAGTGTCAACTTGTTACAATTGAGCTAAATCACAAAACCCGGAGGCCTGGGATTTGTTTTGTGGGCATATAATCACTATCAAAGCACTGCTCTGCTCAGACAAAACCAGACATAGTGATAACTGCTCTGAGTTGTTGGCAGTGTGATACAGCACTCTTACGACTGGCAGCCTCAGTATGGTTTCATAAACCAAGTGTTTGTGGTGTTGAAAGTTACTCCCTTGTTAGATAACTTTTGTCACATCCTTGGTTACAGTTAATATCTGGAATGGAATGTCTGACCCAGCAGATCTGCTGCTTGTGTTTTTTGTTTACCAAATTTTTACTTCAGTATTTATCCATTGACATTAACTCCTGAATTCCCAGTTCCACTTGTGAACTGGGATTGACAGTTTTGTGGCATTGACACAGATGAGTTTTAATATCCTTATGTGTCTGTTGTCTCAAGGCTCAGTGGTGCTGTTTGAGTACATATGTGTCTATATATATATATAGCAGATGTATATAAAAATATGTATGTATTTTATATATGTATATAAAAGTAAATCAGTATGCAAAACTTTAATGTTGAATGATAGCTGCTTCATGCAATCTGAGCAGTAGGCTTCGTGCTTCCTGTTTTTCAAAGCGCAAGGTCCGTGTAGCAACATAATAGCCCAAGATTCAAGTATGTACTCTCAGTTGTTGTAGTCAATGTATTTGCTGGAAGGGGTTGGTCTAAGCTGGAGTATTACACTTGCTGATTTTGTTTAGCAGATTGTTTCCACAGGTTCCTGGATGCCAGTGTGGAAGTAATGGGGTTGATTACACTTAGAAACATTTCATAGAATCCCAACCTGTTTTGTGTTGGAAAGGAGCTTAAAGCTCATTCAGTTCCACGCCCCTGCCACGGGCAGGGACACCTTCCACTAGAGCAGCTTGCTCCAAGCCCCTGTGTCCACCCTGGCCTTGAACACTGCCAGGGATGGGGCAGCCACAGCTTCTCTGGGCACTCTGTGCCAGTGCCTCAGCACCCTCACAGGGAAGAATTCCTTCCTAACAACTAAATAAAGTCAGTCAGTAGTTCCAACAGCAGCATCATGAGGAGCTCTTGCCAGTTGGAATGCAGTTTATCAGCAGTACGCCTGCCATGGGTGTTCAGGGCCTTGTTTTGACAGTGGCTAAATATGCTGAGATGCTCACGTGTATATCCTGTTGTTCCTGGAAGCTGTGATTCTGCCTGTGCTGAGGCTGCAGTGATGAGCAGGCTTTGCCTTTCAGAGCAGCTTGTGGTTGACTCACCCTCCAGGAAGGAAGAGTCTGAACACAAAGTTGTTGCCAAACACTCCAGTGGAGTTCTAATATCAGAGCTTGAAGTAATATTGCTACAGAAGTACTGTTCAGGCCGAGCAAATACAGTTTCAGACAAAAGTTATGTGATTGAGGTATACTAATGAGAATAAATGATAAACTAATAAATGACAAACTGTATTTGGTAAAAAGAGTAGAAGAGAGCTTAAAAGAAGTATTAAATACCACAAAATATCTGTAAGTCATGCTTGGTGTTAAAGAGATGATGTGGATTGGCTCTTTGCTCCTGTTGGAACTGGATGAGCTTTAAGGTCCCTTCCAGCCCAAACCAGTCTGGGATTCTCTGAATTATTACATTATTACATGTTATTAATTTTATTATATTTGCATTTATTACAACCTCTTCAATGTAAAATATTCTGCCTTTTAATGACTTCTTAAATCTTCATATAACAGCATCAGAAATTGCAGCTCTTTTGGAGTGATGTTTAGCCCCTTTTCTCATCATAGATTCTATTTGCTTTGCCTCATAAATACTC